TTGAGATATTCTTCTACTTTTTATTGCTAAAAAATCACTTAATCTCCTACTTCGAGATGAGACTACTAATCTAGTGTGTGTAGGTATATTTACAGATGCAGCTGCCTTGTATTCTTCAAATAATCTGTTGCATGTTTGCATGATATGGGCAAATTGTGATTGATCAGCGAAAATACGCTCTAAAAATTCTTGTAAACTAATTTCTTTACACCTAGGATCAATTATTATGGCTAAACCTAATAGATGAGGCAAATGATCAAAATATTTATCAAAATTTTCTTTTATTGAAGTAATAATGGTTATATAATATTCATTACCCATATATTTTATGAAAACTTTAATTATTTTTGTTAGCATATGTAAGACAAATGGTGAAGTAGGAATATATTTACATATATAAGAAAATAATATTGTTGAAGTATCGAAAATTTTTAAAATATCTTTATACAAGGCTACTTGGAGCTAATTAAGTTCAGTGGGAGTCATTACTCCTCCTATTGATGTTGTTGCAAAAAATAAATCTATTGATCTTCTTTGTTTACAAGTTGTTTTTAACATATTATATGTTGAATTCTTCCTACTATTTACATCTAAAATTAATTTTCTAAATGGCATATTTTCTCGTTGACAAATTTTTCTATATTCCGAAATTTGATTACCAAAAGACATAATAGTAACAACTGCATTTTTTATTACAAATACGAAAGTTTCATATACATGCATAGCTTCTTTAACAATCAAATTGAAAATATGAGCACAACAACGAACATGAAATAAATCGCCATCAACAAGTAATTGTAAAGTTGATGTTAAATGGGCTACAATTTGATTATAATATGAAGCATTATCTAAACTAATCGTAAATATTTTATTTTGTAAAGCCCACTTGTATAATACATTTCTTATTTCTACACCAAGCGAATGACCAGTGAATGGAAGTTCAACTAATTTAAATGAAATAATTCTTTTATTTAATTTCCAATCATTATCAATAAAATGTGCAGTGATACATTGATATTCAAAACCATTATTTGACCACAGATCAGATGTTAAACAAACTCTTCCATTCAAATTTTTAAAGATATCAAATAATTCAATTTTAATATCCTCAAATTTCTTTAAAATCTAGTTTCTAGTAGCATTTCTCGAAAAACTTTGATATTGCAGTGCAAAACTTTCGTGAATCATTTCGGGAAAATCAGGACATTCACTAGTACTAAAATGTTGTTCTTTTTTAATAATATAATCAACTACAGAATTTTGTGCACGTATAGGATCATATGAAAATGCAATGCAATAATATAAGCAAACCACAAGCAGTGCTTACAACACAAATATCATAGGCCGGCCACTAAAATTGGCCTATGGGGACACCTAGATTTAAATATCTGCCTCTCGAGACATCTAGCCAGCTGGCCATGTAGGGCACAGCCGACCACTAAAAGTTGGCCTGCTGGTCACAAACAACTGCTCTTTAGGCTAATTTCAAATGAGCATATCTTTCTCATCTAGACTCGGTTTTAAGTGATTCTTGAGTCTAAATTGAAGCTCCAAAAGTCTTATTTCCAGTGGTGGTGGCTTGACATCTAAATTCTAAGTATGGAAAGAGATATGCCTAATTTAGTGAACGTTGCTCATTTCTTTCTTAACGGTTTGATGCTCGACCTTTTCCTAAACTACTTTTCTTCCCTCCCCTCTTATTTCCTTCAACTCCAAACCTATAGATAAAATATTTTTCAAATAGTTCACCTCCCTTCCACTTATTTCCACTTTGTCTTTACTCGGTTTACCGAAAAGTGCAATATTTTAATCGAAATGCGAGTTTCGGAACATCGTAGAAATATTTAGAAAAATATTTTGAAAAAAAGGGTTTTAAGGTCTAAAATAGTTTGGCCAAAATGGGGTGCAAGGTTTGAGATTAGAGCTTGAATCCAAATTTATTCACTGAGAATTCAAAAGATTGCACAGTGTAACTTTCATTATCAGGTGTTCAGAATAAAGCGCCCAAGTCTTAAAGGCGGTCAAAAATGTGATGTCTACACAAACATCTTTTCTAACTTTGCCTCCACTCTCTCTCTCTCTCTCTCTCTCTCTCTCTCGGCCAAAGAAAAAAGCATTATTAGTTTGATTTTAATTTAATAAATTACTATTATTTTTTGTTTTATTTTTAAATTATTAATATTATTTATTTAATTATAAAATTTTTATTTTTATAAGATTAATTTTTATAAGATCAATCTTTTTATATATTTTATTTATTATTATTTTTAATTATTTAACCATTACAAGTTGTTTTTTTGAAGTTTGACTATTAGTAGGGAGAGGATTGGATGAGTGGGCCGGGTCGCCCGCAGGGCCCAAAATTTTTTGGGGCTGGGCTGGGCCCTAAGTGGAAGGCCCAGGCCTAGGCCCGAAGTCCTGGACTGGGCTCGGGCTTAACCAGGCCGAAACGAGCAGGGCCCACCTCGAACTTCGGGTGGGCTTCAGGCTGCCTACGAGCCTCAGGCCATTTTTACACCCCTAATGTCTTGCTAAAAGTAGACTAATTTTTTCATGTTTTTTCTTGTTTTGTGTGGGTATATGGGTGGAGGATGTAGATCAAAGTTGGGGGGCCAACACACATACACACATGCAAGCCAAGGCAGGGGGCATGGCACCCTATTGTCTACCCTGTCCGTTCTTGGACCCATTTAATTTGGGGTAAATTACACTGAGACGTATTAAATTTTTCTAAAACAACACTGTGAACTCTTTTATTCTTTGAAATCTCGCTGCCTTCCCCTTACAAAATTTGTGATGCTTAAGTCCTTCTGTTTGTCAACCATTTGTTAACTTAACAGAAAATGATGATACAACAAAAAAAAAAGGACATGAAATACCAACTTTGCCCTTTTAAATTTTCTTCGTCTTTCCCCTCATCTCCTTTCCATAACAACCACTATTTGATTTTTTTAATAAATGAAAAGACAATGAACAAAAGAAATAAAAGGGTGAACTCCAACATATGCTTAATCAACGTTGTCCATTCCATAACTCCATTACATACATCCTATATTCAGATTCTATGTGAAATGAGTATATTGTATATAAATCAAGCTATTAGTGTTAAGTGAACCATAAAGTTGCCCTAAGGCTTACAAGACAAAAATGGTTGAACCCTTAACCAAAAATGGCTCATGGCCTAAATAAAAAAAAATGCCCTTGGCCTGAATATCAAAAGCTCCTTAAGCTCAAGCACACATCCCGGCTCATCACCTCAAAGTCAGGGCCCACCATCTATACCTGAAAAGATTACATCCACATAGGGTGAAAATATAGTCCAATAAGGAACATTTTAGAAGTCAATACAAATCTACAAGTATAGATGATCATGATGCTATACATATATGACATGTTTAAAATGTTTGATCGAACGATCATTTTCCAACATCAACACTAAGACCTGGTGAATCCCCTCAAGCCCATGTATCTGTTAGTGGTCATCGCTAAGTACCACCTACAACTAGCGCACTATATGAAGCTACGCTTTGCCAGGACCATCGCCAAGCATCACCTAAACTACCAAACTTACTGGTTACTAATCGGAGGACCCTGGAACCTAACCGCACTGGTTTTTGGTCTTTCACCATGGACTGTAGAGCCAAATTAACCAATAATCATATCAACCATACATGACATGGATTCACCCAAACACTTAATTAAAACCATGTTGTTTTAATAGTATCAATGCAATAATAATAATGAACATTTCTTCCAAAACACGCTCTGTGCATCACCGTTCAACAACTGGTTTTCATTCTCAACATCTCAAAAAGTATGAAATGATAATAGTTAGCATCAATTAATTGCATCAACTTGTCCAACATTTCAACAACCACTCCTTAAATCCCATACTCACAAATTTATAAGCTTTTCATATACAACTAATGGCTTTCTCAAAATGAATACCCATATGCAATTTGTGATAATAAAAGTAAGTTTGATAAGAAATAATGGAGAAAACCCATTCAAATCACCAAATCCTAACTTCAAATGCTTCAAATCAACAATAACAACAACAACATCAACATGTAGATTTTATGTTAAAATTACCACAAGTACACCAATAAACTCATATAGAGTGTTAGAAATAGAACCCTATCTCTTGTAGAGAAAAGGAAAATCTAAGAGTAAAGATAGAGGCTCAAATCCACTTTTGGCCAAGATTAAAGTGAAGTCATTGCCAAGCTCTACAATACCCAGGAAGGAGATGGAGATCAAATCCAAGCTTAGATGCTCCAAAATCAAGATTGGAGCCTCAAGAACTAGGTCTAAATCGCATAGGAGAAAAAGAGTGTAGAAAGTTGAAGAAAAAGTGATATTTTCATGCACTTCTTTGTTTTGTTTTTTAAATAGAGAATAGACTGCATACACAATGGTCTTGGCTGTGGGCGTAAAAGACATAGTCACGGGATCGACTTAACTCCTTGTGAGTGCAGAACTACATAGACAAAAGTAATGGAATGTGGTTTTAGTCGTGGACTCACGAGCGTAACATGCATACTGTGGGCACGACAATGCAAATCGCGAGCCTCCATCGCGGCGTCATCACGGGCCATGCAATTTCTCAAGGCCTAAGGACCTGAATGTGTGTTGTGGTTACGGCCTGGTCATGGATACGATACATATACTGCGGGCACAATCATGTCCAAAACAAATTCTCACTCTATTTTCCTGGGGACAATTCTGAGTATAAATAACAACTCTCAACAATATGTAAAGCACCAAAAAGAAGTAAATAAAACAACAACAACATCACTCATTCATCACAAGCCCACAAGTGTGTCGGGGCATCCGTACAAGTGGGTTTCAAGTCGGGTTTTAGAACGAGGACATTACAACCTCCTTCCCTTCAGGAATTTTGTCATCGAAAATAAAGTGATAGAGTCAAAATAAAGCAGAAAAATACAAGATATCTAGGCAACAAATAAATTCGAGTATTTGGAGAAAACTTCCACCTCTCATTCCCAAGTCGCTTCCTCAACCCCATGATGCCTACACAACGCCTTTAAGAGCAGAATGGTTTTACCCCGCAACACTTGCTCTCTAGAGTCCAAAATTCGTGTTGGACACTCCTCGTAGGATGCATCCTCATCAACCTCTAAGTCAGTCCAATCTAATACGTGTGAAGGGTTCGGCTGATACTTTCTCAACACAGAGATATGGAGCACACCATGAACCCTAGACAATTGTGGTGGTAATGCAAGGCGATAAGCTACCTTGCCAATTCTCTCAGTGATATCAACAGGCTCAATGTATCTAGGTGAAAGCTTGTCACTACGCCTAAATCTCATCAAACCCAGATTTTCAAAAACACATGATCTCTCACCTCAAAAGATAAGGGTCACCTCCTTTTATCCGTATAACTCTTCTGCTTACTCTGCCTACTATGTGCGGTGACAATACATTGCTGGATGAGGGAGATTTTCTCTGTGGTCTCCTACACTAATTTCAGTCCCAACAAACGTGCGTCCCCAACATCGGTCGAGCAAGTCGGGGATCGACAAGGCCTACCATATAAGGCCTCAAACGGTGCCATTCTAATACTTGTCTGATAACTATTGTTGTAGGTGAATTCTATCAAATTTAAATGTATCTCCCATGAACCTCAAAAATCAAGTATGCATGCTTGAAACATGTCCTTTAAAGTTTGAATGGTCCGCTCAAACTGCCTATCGGTCTGTGGGTGAAAAGTTGTACTAAGGGTCAACTAAAACCCAAAAAATGACTGATGTCCTTCTAGAGTCGTGCTGTGTATCACTGATCCCTATCGAATAAAATGGTGACTGGAACCCCATGAAGTGTAACAATGTGCCGAATATAAAGCTCACTCAACTCATCCACGGTGTCACTTACTTTCATAGGAATAAAATGTGCTGATTCAGTTAAGCGGTCAACTACAACCCAAATGGCATCATTGCCTCGTCGGGTTATAGGAAGTCCCACAATGAAGTTTATAATGTGTTCGCACTTCCGTTCGGCTACAAGCAAAAGTTTCAACAATCTCGCTAGTCTCTGATGTTCGGCTTTCACTTATTGACAAGTTAAGCATTTAGAGACAAACAACGCCATGTCTCTCTTCATACCCCACTACCAAAACTGAAGGCTTAAATCATGTTACATTTTGTTAGGATGCACTGCTAGACGAGAGTGGTAAAACTCTGTAAAGATCTCTTCACAACATGGTTCCGACATAAATAATCAGTCGAAGTATCTAACACTCAAGAATAAACAAACCCCGTTCCTCCTTAACATTTGCAATATGTTCTCAAATGGTCTCATTTTCCCCGTTATATTGTTGGGCTTCTATGACCTTGCTAATAATGGTAGGTTGAGCAATGACCATAAACAAGGTCACATTCTCATCAGAATCACCTAAGTGTAAGTCAAATTTGCCTATGCTCCCAAGCATCTTCCATTCCCGATTTACAATACTAGCTATACTACTTGTTGACTTTCTGCTTAAAGTGTCGGCCACCACATTGGCCTTTCCCGGGTGATATTGTAACTTGAAATCATAATCCTCCGTGAACTCTATCCATCTCCTTTGGCATAAGTTGAGGTCTTTTTGAGAAAATAAATATGTTAGACTTTTGTGGTCAGAAAACACCTCAAACAGTTCACCATAGAGATAGTGCCTCCAAATCTTCAGGGAAAAAATGATAGTTGCATGCTCTAAATCATGGGTATGATAATTCTTTTTGTAAATGTAACACCCCAAAATAATAGCGACAACCCATCTCATGATAATCCAAGGAAAACATAACATGCGAAACAATAACCTTTAATTTATTTTCTTTTACCGCACAAAACATGACATATGCGAGTATACATTCATAAATAGATCTTGAATCTATAACAGATACCCCATATGATCGAACTTAAATAACAGGTTATCCAAATAAGCTAATGACCTAATGACTACATCTTTTCAAGACAATGCTTGGGTACAATAAAAGTGAGTTCAACTCAATATAGTTAAAGCCCAAGGCTTGTACAAAAATAATTACATCAAAAGAAACAAAAGAAGCTCTTCCCGCCAAGTCCTTCCAAGCTATGTCTTTGGAAGAGGCATATCATCAGCAACTGAAAGTTATTTTCCACGTAGGGTGAGCTAAAGCTTAGTAGAGACGTTTTAACACAATGTATGGAACTTAGTAAAGTTATAAGATCAAAAGAAACAAAAGAAGCTCTTTCCGCCAAGTCCTTTCAAGCTATGTCTTTGGTAGAGGCATATCATCTGCAACTGAAAGTTATTTTCCACGTAGGGTGAGCTAAAGCTTAGTAGAGACGTTTTAACACAATGTATGGAACTTAGTAAAGTTATAAGATGAATACACATGCATGCCATTTGTTAAACATCATACTTTTCCATCTTACAACAATGCAATGCCTTTATCAATATATTTCAATTCATGAAAATACACTTTTATATCAAAAAACAGGATAGTGGTTACAAAACAATGGTAATCTCTAGGTTCGTGTCTGCCAGTAGGCTATACAAGCACTACTAATGCCATTTTACCGGTATTAACCGAAAGAATCGATATCTAATCGCACAGGTTTCTCGACTTTCACCAAGGACACTGACATGGGTTTTTGGACTTTCACCAAGGGTACACAGACTAACAATATAAATCACAACCACACCCTATAACCAGATTCACCAAGGTATACACCCGTTTTTCTTAAAAATAATACATTTTTAATGTTCAAGTATGAAGCAATGCTTGATACAAGATGTATGAGAAATTAGTTTTAATTTAACCAAATCTTCATGCAATTTTTACAATAATTAAAGCTATCATCCACTGATAGCCCAAAACAGATATTTCTACTCAACATATAATTTTTCCAATAATAGATAAAATCTCAAAATTTCAAAATGGGAGTGATAATAAATATCCAATGCCACTCTCATCATCAATAGATACCCTTTTTCCATATCCTTTCAAAATTCAACACTATTTTCTTTTCTTTTATAAACCAACATCAATGATTTTTATAACAAAACCTTCTTTATTTTTTTTTTGATTCATAAAATGGATATGCAGATAGGCTACTCCAACATATCTGCCAGGGAGTATTGCCCCTTAGCACTTATAGCATATCTGCAGGGAACCCCACCGCACCTACATCGGGGCTGAAGCTTAGGCCTTCGCGTGCTCCAGGTGCTAAGGAGTATGTTTAACCCTAACAAGGGGCTATGGAGACTCGAACCCAAACCTTGAGCGAGGAATTCGAAGGTCTTATCCATTGAACTAACCCCCTGTCGGTAAAACCTTCTTTATTTTCAAAATCTCATTTGAAGGAGGAATTTCCAACACAATCCAATAATCTATACACATCTACAATCTTTCTCAAGAATTTATTTGAAAAACTCATCTTTTACTTTTCAACATCAAATCGTAAGTTTAACCCAAAACCCCCAAATCATTAAATACTTTTCAAAGTGCAAATAACTAAGTTGAAAATCATACAAAAGGTGGAAGAAATCCCTACCTCAAGTCAAGAAGATAAAGAAAACATGGGTTGAGGCTTGATAAAGCCAAAAACAAGATCCTTTCTGATTGGAATGAAACTTTTGACGAGCTTTACCTTTTTCTCCGAAGAGCTATGGTGAAGAAATCAATAGGTGAGGGTGTATTTGGGGTTTTATGGCAAGAACTAGAAAGAAAGAGTGAAGAAATTAGGGTTTGAAAGGTTTTAGAGAGAGAGAGAGAGAGAGAGAGAGAGAGAGAGACAGAGAGAGAGAGAGAGGAAGAGGAATCAAAAAGTGATTGAAAAATCCCTTTTCCTTGATATATGCACAGACTGCTCGAGCGGCCAAAACACTGCTCGAGCATAAGAGAAAATAAGTGACACCACTTGAGCTACCAAAACACAGCTTGAGCACAGAATGATTTCATCCTAAAAGTTTTTCAAATTGAAAAAGACTGTTTGATCCCAAGAAATACTGCTCGAGTGAAGATACCCTACTCTTAGAACTTTTGCAGACCTGTAAATTATTGGGAGATCTCAAAGACCGCTTGAGCAACCAAAACACCGCTCAATTGAACAAGTAGAAAACAGAACAATAACTCTTTTGAAAAACTAACTGCCAACCTGTTTCAAACACGACCAACAACTCAACTCGACTACTAACAAGATGACAAAGGATATGAACAACAATTAAAAGTACTGAATCTGGATCTAAGAGTATTAAATGGGTTGGGTCTAAACCAAAACTGTAATGGTGAATCTTCAACTAATGAGAACCATAAGCCACAACCCATCCCTCTTGCATCAACACATAACCCAAACCATCCCGTGAGCTATCACAGTACACGGTATAGTCCACACCTCATTCTGGAATAATTAAAATTGGAACAATGGTCAACCTCTCAATGAGTTCTAAAAACGAGCATTCACAAACATTGCTCCAAACAAACTTCACTGCTTTCCAAGTCAAATGAGTCAAGAAAGACGCTAAACATGAAAAATCTTTCACAAAGAAACTTTCAGTAGTAACCAGCAAGACCCAAGAAACTTTTAATCTCGAAGGCGTTCTTTAGTTGTTCCTAATTCCTCACAAAATCTATCTTAGAGGAGTCAACAGTCACACCGTTTCTTGAAACCACTTGTCCTAGGAATTTCACCTCAAACAACCAAAACTCGCACTTACTCAACTTAGCATATAAGCAATGCTTAACTGTAGCACAACTCGCAGGTGCTCCTCATGTTTTTCCTTAGAAGGTGAGTAGATTAGGATATCATCCACAAACATGACTACAAAACAATCTACGTATTCCCGAAAGATCTGGTTCATCAAATCTATGAAAGAATTCGATGCATTAGTTAGCCCAAATGACATAACAAGAAACTCGTAATGGCTATAGTGAGTGTGAAAGACCACCTTGGGAATACCTTCCTCGACTCTCAATTGATGATAACTCGATCTCAAATCGATTTTAGAGAAGATACTAGAACCCTTAAGTTGATCAAACAAGTCATCTATCCTAGGCATTGGGTATTTGTTCTTTACAATTATCCAGTTAAGTTTTCGATAATCAATGCATAAGCACAAAGACCCATCTTTATTCTTGGCAAACAATGCTGGTGCTCCCCATAGCAAAGTACTAGGGCGAATGAAACCCTTATTTAATAATTCTTGTAGTTGAACCTTCAACTCACGCAACTCAGCTAATGCAAAATGATATGGGGCCATAGAAATAGGTGTCGCACTTGGAAGTAAATCAATAGAGAACTCAATCTCTTGATGATATGGTAAACCGGTGAGATCTTCTGGAAAATA